CACCTGCACTGACAGTCGCCTCGCTGCGTGGAAATGAATGGAGAGCGAGCGACTTCGCCTCCCGTGTGTCAAACCCTTCACACATGCCGCTGCGCGCACTCCTCCCGCAGCAGGCAGTGTGGAGGACGCGCCGTCACGTAAACATGTAAACAGTTCGGTGTACATTTTCACACACCCAAACCAGGTCCGGATAAATTATGTTTTTTCCCCCCTCCTCATTTGCGCTCTCAGCCACGCTGCTTCCCTCTTCCTCTGTTCTGACTCCAGCCGGTTAAGTCATCAAAAAGTATTGCACAGTTGGCCGGTAGACTACAGATCTCTCATAGGACAAATTTATATCATTTCTACCGTATATCGTTTATATCGCGTATTCCTAGTTTAAGTGCTAACTTACTGTTGGAAGCTGAACAAGGTGAATCTTCAGGAAATCAACAACATTAAAAGCTAACAAAGCTAGCAATTCAGCTCTATGCAGCGCTCGTCAATTTGGGCAGAAAACTCAACACCCGTCTTGTTTCCTCACTACAACTATTTTCCAGCTCAGAAAACAGTTAATAAACAGTGAAACTTTCTGCAGCAGAGTTTGTTGTAAACTTATCTACAGGCCCTGTCACACTATGACGTTTTAGACAACTTATGAAATATTTTTTTAGTTTAAATTTCTAATAAGTTATATATTTGATCAATTTGTTACACGCCTAAAAGAGGCTTCCAGTTGATTTTTTTAAAATTTCATCTTCAAAGTAGACGTCTTTAAACTTTTCATAAGTTGGCATAGGTTGTCTAGTGTGACAGGGCCTTTATGAAGACTGTCCATCTTTCAGTTTCTATCAGTCTATCAGTTTTTAAAAAGACATCCTCGTTTTATGCAGGCTACATTTACTTTATCAGGGTTTTCCAACTCAGAATTCCTACTGCACTTAATGTACCCAGTGAAAATGCATCTAAACTTAGATTTTGCACAGCCCATTTCAACACTGCCCACTACTTTTGAACCCTAGACAATCTTGCCCATCTTTACAGCTTCTGTAGAAATGAATCAGGTCAGCAGCAGCCAGGTGCTGCAGGTGGAAGGTATTGATTAACTGTTGGGGTCCAGATTTTCTGCCTATGCTGCACTCGCACAGTTAGAAATGTGAAAGGAGGACTGAAGTACAAAACTCGCAGGATGCTGCAAAACTCACACTCTTCTTTATAGTTATTTAGAATGATGGATGAGGCTCTGTGTGTGTTTAAATATAAGTTATACATGCAYTAGGATGCATTAGCAGGGTTGATGAGTCAATGAAAAGCAACAAACAGGTCAGCAGAAACAATAACTCCTTACTTCAAGTAAATGGTGTTGAAGATGACATTTGTAGATGCCGTTTAATTGAACCACCAGAAAGCTAGTTGTTAGTAGTCAGCCAGCCATTTGGCTCCTTTCTCCTAAAGAGCCAGAGAGTATAATGTTAGCTCAAATGTTTGCGTTGTGAGCAAATATTAGCACTAAGTACTGATGGCTGAATCTGAGCGGTGGCTGTTATTAATGTGGTGAGTAACTA